TTATGCGACTTCCAACAAGGTTGCGTTAAACGTTTAACGCTATATTTTTATTGGCCGGGAAATCACGTGGTAGGATTCAGTTTTCCCTCATTCATCTCCATATTGTTTTGGTTCTCACTAGCATCAAAATAATAAAAGTCATAAAAGTATTGTTTTTCTATAAATATTTTTTTAGTTTGTTTTGATACACATATAATTTAAAAGAGTAGTATTTTTTATTTTCAAACTTAGTGGATAACAATTGTAAAAAATGAGTGAAAACAATCCCAAGGACAATGCGACGGATTTAAGGTTATGTCAAGGTACGTCTCTCGTGAATATCAATTGATTGTTAGGTTTTCTCTTCTGAAATTACATTATGACGCATTCACATACATTATTGATACAAATACATTTTCCAGGGCGAGACGATGAGGCAACCACAAGCCAGGGCGAGACGAATCACAAGCACTTCCACTGGTTCAAGAGGGAAAAATGCATAATATTACCGTGATTACAGAGCACGGAAGCGAACGGAGTAGAAAAAAGAGTCGTTGAATAGAACTATATATCCTTCAACGACTGCTGATTCTTCTACAATTAACGTCGCAGGTTGCGAAATTTAACTTCTTCCGTGTGGAGGGACTCTACGCACTATTTTTTTATTCATTCTGTGATATATATCCTAAAAGATAACAGGAATTAAATGTCTGTCCTACGAGTTGTACTTTTACAATCTTTTTTATTGTTTTGAAAGCATATTTGTATAATTTGATAACTAAATATAAAGGAACTATACGCAGTCGTGGATGATTACTTAAATTCTATACCTCAATGGCATTTTCTTAACTTGCAACGGAGTTTATAGAAGAATACTATATGGCTGACCAAGAACAAGTATGCTGTATTTACAATCCTCAAAACGTTTTACTAATAAATTAAATATTAAAAAAAAACTAACGTAACTTTTTGTTTTCTAATAGGGAGATTTCGTACTTACATATTAAATTGCCGTACGCATGATTTGAAATAATTGCGTATGCACACTTCAAGAGCAAATGCTCCCGGGAAAAGATATCAAACTTACAGGATTAAAAATAAAGAAATTATTATAAAACCCCGTGACGTAAAAGTGTAATGGGTTTAGAAAAAAACGATAACGTAGTGAAATATCATCTTGACTACAAAATTAAAACAAAGATTTACAATGGATATGGATGGTATGGAAGAAATTTCTACCAATTTAAATTGTAAAGTAAATAAATAAAACAGATAAATAAATAAAATTTTAAAATAATGAAAAAAATGTCTAATTTATTATGTTTACTTCAATCTTAGAGCAAGTAGGCAGCCATAATTTTAAACTAAAACCAATGAAATTTCTTTTAAATTAAATCAACCAATTGCTGTAAACAGTTCAACATTTTGCAATAACGGATCCTTCATCTTTATTTTGTGTTGGCGTCTATCTTGATCTATCTGTGACATGTCCATGTTTTCAATTTAAGAGTAGGATTAAAAAGAAAACAATATGAAACAGCTACGAACAGCGTGCTTATAGCTCTGTAAAGTCGCACCAATAAACTGTTCAAATAAATAAATACATAAATAAACGCATGCGCAGCTGCTTTAATTCTTAACTGTTCCCTAAGCAACAATTATTAAAAAGTTTAAAATTGTTTGCATATTCCTCTTTTGAACGAACTTTTTTTTATGATTACCTAAGGATTTTTGATTAGGATTTTGATTGCATCAAATTTGAAATAAGTTGAAATTTACATTTCTCTTCGAAACTGGATTGATTATTTATTTTAACCCTGAAGAATACAAGATGGACTCCAGAATAATAATTAGAATATGCAAAATAAAAAACTTTAATGTAAGATAATTTTTTTACACTTCAAAATTATTATTTTGATGAAAATTATTATTTTTAAAAACAAAAATTGTGAGTAGTATACACATTATTCCGAAGTGACCACTTTTACTATTTTTTTTTTCTTTTTTGGAATCCTTTTCTAAAATTATGACTGCTAAGAACAAGCAAAAACACTATCAAAACACTAGTGTGATTGTCTGATCAAACGTAAATGTCCAACAAAACAGAAAGGGTAAATTTTTGTGCTATGTAGACTAAAGCAAAAAACGACGCAAATAAAGCACTAATGAAAGTACCTAAAAATTAATGAATAAAGCACAAATGAAATTTTTTTTATCTACTTTCATTTGTGCTTTATTCGTTTGCATTTATTTATTTATTTTTTTTTTTTTTGCTTTAAACTTAAATGCTTTTCTAATATACTCTTTTCAACTCTTCTCTGTTCCAAAAGATATGCATTAAAGGTCATTTTTACGGTTCACCCTTTCATCGCCCTAAGCTCAAACCAAAATACTAAAATCGCTTTTTTTCTACGCATTAATAGCTTTTTCTACTCATTAATAGCTAGCAAGCACGTGATGCTATCATTGTTTCAGAATTAATTATCAGTTATCATTTTAACATTTTGACTGTTTGTGGTTTTCTACGTTAACCACAAACTAAACGAAATATTGTAAAAATTCATTGAAATAAATTGTTCTACTAAAGCCAAACTGAAATAATTGTGACAATTATGGTGTTTTATTTTAAATAAAAAAAAATAATCTGCCCTTAAAGAGTTAAGATGAATTAACGATGAACATTTATTAACAAGTAATAANTATGTTTACGTAAACTGATACTGCAACTGTTGAATTCAGGACCGATTAACATCCTTCTTTTCCCTCTCGTCTAGCGAGAATACAGCAATTTAAGTGCTTTAGAAACACAGTAATTAAAACCAACGCTAATTACAAGCTGTTGTGCAAAAAAATTAATAGCAGACGACAATTTGCTTCAATAACCCTGAAATTAAAATAAACTTCTTTTGCTGATCTGATGTTGCCAACGAAAGAAAGATTAATTCAATAAGAGTATGAAGAAACACGATGGCGATTTTCCTAATTAGTGCACTTTAGGTTAGTTAAAGTTTATCTTTCGAAACTATTTGCATTCAGAGAAGCTAGATTTTCTTTTATTATTTTTAGAAATTCCTTATTTTGTTGATAAAAAAGCAAAATATAACGATAATTTCTTTATTTTAAAAGATAACGATTATAATTTTTTTCTTAAATGTAGTTTAACGTCAGAAGTTATATTTTTTTAATCGTTTGCATGTACTTGCTTACGCTAAATGCCTAAATAATTGGCCACGTTTATGTTCTTTTCATATTAGATTTTAGAAAAGATTACTTAAATGGAGCTTTTATATTTTATTAATTGCCTGTTAAATTTTTAAAAATGCAATATGAATAAAACATAAGTAAAAGGATGTGCAAAAAGAGTGCTGCTTGCAACTACGGTTGAAAGCTGGTGGCTGGTGAAAGTTTGATCCAGGAGGCCAACTCAAAATCCAGCTTGATACAACAAGCTGCTCGCTTATTTCGTCGCAACTGAAAGACCATCCATTGATTTGGTGTGGAAGTTATAGGTGGAGTGTATCAGCTCAGGTGATCGATCATGTCGCTTTTTCGTGTTCAAAACTATTGGAAGTGTTTGTTACACATAAATAAAGATTTAACATATTGAAAAAAAAATTGTATTAAATTGTAAATGGGTGCTAAATAGTGATTCAGAAATTTTTTCACTTTCCGGCTGTGTTTACAAATATTTATTTTAATTTGTAAAATTTTTATAAGTTTACTTCTTCAAATGCGGTTAAGTTTAATAGAAAAATAAAACTTTTTTTTATATTTTGTTAATGAGATGATAGGTTCAGGTCCAAAATATTGCGTATGCTGAGTAATATGATTGCGTATTTTACAGTGCGTGCAAGGTTCTGCTTAATGTCTTGTTAATCTAAATCATTTCTGACCACACGATGAGAAAAGAAAGAAAAATCGAAATTCCAATTTTCGATTTATGTCTTAATCCTTCACCATTGCCCGAAGTATAAAATCTTCGGCAATTGCATATTTAATAATGTCAGCTTCCTAAATGATAATGAATTCAATTTAAATTCCCATATCGTATATAGTTTACCACAAAAGATAACAATTTAATTTAATGCATTAGTGATGGTACATAATAATTAGGATAAAATATTTCGTTGTTTTGTCCATTAGAATGTCATAAAGATTTGTCTTGTTTATTATTTTTCTATAAAATTATATGATTGATTACTCTGATATTAAGTATGATTCAATTTTTTTTGCAAAAAGTCACAATAAACTAAAGTAAAAATTGTTTGTTGACTTATTTTTTAAATTTAATTATGCAGAAATATTTTATTTACAAAGATGTTACAGCATTTTAATGGACTTATAATTATAGTGTCTTTTAATAATTAAAAAATATTATACCTAACTGTTTTATTGCTGCAATGACTTTCTTTTTTTATTATACCGCTCTGTAATTGGAATTTTTTTTATCGGTAGGATGTGTTAAAATCAGACAAAATAAAAATGGAGAACGAAAACTTTAGGAAACTTGAAATATGATGATAGCAAAGAGATTAAGTTAACATTAAGATGGCCTAAGGTATAATATTGCATACATTATTGAAGCGTTAACTACGAAAAAAAAATAGAAATATGTTAAAATGATAAATCTTTTAAATTGTAATAGTCTGTCATAACTTTTTTTTTGCTAAAACATCTCTTTAGCAAACGCAACAACAAGTCCCAGTGATAAATCGAATCTGAACTTCAAGTATTAATTACAGGAATACACATATCAATGATATTACGTGATTGTGTATAATAAAGTGTGGAAATTATATATATTTGAAAACAAAATACTCATTAATATTTACTCGCAACCTTGAAATTTGCTTTTGAGTAACACTAGATAAAAAAAGAACATGCAAATTATTCTGCCCGTCCGGCAATAGATAAAACGATATTTTTTTCAGAAAGCGATTCAGGAAAAGAAAACCAACAAAGCATATAATTCACAAAATTTAATGTTATTTAAAAGACGCATGCGCCGTTTCTATGACAACAGCTCTTACATCAGTCTATGTAAACGAATCACCTGTTGCTGCTATGGTTAGTGAAATTTTTCGAAAAAAAGAACTAAACTTCTATCTTTGTTTAGCAGCTGGTTGTTTTATTTGTTACACGACATGTGTATTGAATAGTGTCTAGTTTGGTAGAAAAGGAGAATTATTGTGTAAGTTGCTTGTGAAAATAATAATTACGAAATCATGGGTTGTGCTTGTTTCAAAGAGAAAGTTGCGATAAATCCGGAATATTTCGTTTACAGATGCTACAGGTAATTCAATTAATTTTTTTTCACATAAAATTATTTGTGCTCCATGGAAGTAATTTGCGTAATTGTCCGAAATGTAGTTAGAGATGGTCAACTTTATCCGGTGTCTTAATCCTTTTCTTAAGTGAATGTCCCCAGAATCTACATTCACAAAGCCGCTTTGGTAAATGTCCGAAATACTTGTCATATCCTCTTTGATATTAATTTAGTTTATAGTTTAATATTTATTTGATATTAATAACTTTCGATTGGGTAGAACATAAAAGACATACATGTAAGATATACTGGGTAGTCGCTCTTAACCTTTAGTAAATAAGGAATGCCCGGCAAATGCATAACGGACAATCGCTTTTAACCTTAATAATGCATTAGTGTGAGGAATACCGGGCAAGTATATGTAAGGTAATGGCGATTAACCTTCATGAAACATCAGTGTAGGGAATACCGGGCAAGTATATACCATGTAATGGCTTTTAACCTTATTTTTAAAAGAGGAATGAATTTTAAAGATTTAAATAATTGATTTAAATTACTAAGATTTCTAAGCAAACCATATAAGATTGCATAGAAATCTTTGGGGGCTGGGGAGTATCAGCGAACGGGGGGTGGAGCCCACTAGTTTATATATAAAACTTCTTTTAAACGGTATGTCAGTCAGGGTTTAGTTCTTTGAAACAGTACGCTCGTCCAAAGTACATACGTCAGCAAAGTTATCTTACGAAGTTTAAAAATGCAAGTTAAAATATAATCCTGAAAATTTATGTTTCAAAGAATATTTAAATCTTGGACATATTTTAAAAAAATAATTACTTTGACTCCTAATTAATTAATATTTTTTCTTTACCTGCTGAAAATTTTTTAAAGTGTTTTTAAATATTTTCTAGCTCGCCTCTGCCATTATTTTCTTTTTATTACCGCCTAGAAAATGTAAGACTTCGGTTAAATTAATTATGTTTTATTTTTTACACTTCGCGATAGCTTTAAAAAGCTGCTTGTCTTCATCGGCATTCACTTTTAGTATAAATAATTTAATATTAATTTAGTTGTTGCTCTTTTACATAATCCTTCAGCATTAATCAACCATCAAATTTTTTTTCCAAATAAATTACTCTATTTTTCTCATTATTTTTCTTGTAAACTTTATGTTTTAATTAGAAGTGTGTCAATACTTAAAATCTAAAAATATTTTCTTTGATTTCTTAAAACATAATTCATTAATTAAGTGGAAATATTTTTACTATCAATTTTAATTGGAATGGGTTTCGTTTCAAAATATGCTAAGTTGCTTGATTATTGCATTAAATTTCTCTAAACATTATTCTTTCTTAAGCCTAAAATTAAATGTAAGCTATAGAGAAGTCTAAACTGACGTCACTTCACTTACTTGTCCACTAGCAATCCATCAATGATCAATCAGTTAGATGGCAACCAATAGGAATACATTTCTTTTGGAATCAGAATACGTTTCGTCCTATAGGATTTTCAATTGAAATGGTTTTTTTTCTCAAAAATATACTAAGTTGCTTAATGGACTGTATTAGCTGATTTCTCTACACATTATTCTTTCTTATCTGCAATCTGTCCGTCCAATTAACGGTAAAGTTTATTGTAAAAACATTTTTTTTGCGTTTACGGTTTTCAAACCGTTTCAAACAAGTATGTTTATTAAACTATGAAATACAAAAATTATACATTATTAATACAAAATATTAATTACAAAATTTTTTATACAAATTTTATTAAATGCAAAATTTTACGTTTTTTTTAACCATTTACAACTATTATGGTTTCAAAACTGTAAAAAAGAAATTTAACTAGACATAGGCTTTCCGTTAGGTAATGAGCATTGGAGAGTGCAGTACATTGGAAACTTTTCTGGTGTTGCAAGAAAAGGGGGGTAATATTGTGGTGTGATTGTTAGGACTTAGACTCCAGTTCATGAAACTGACAGATTAGCCGTCTCGGATATAGCATATAGGCAGTTGAATGGAGCTAAGTGGTTTCATTGCATGGAACTAAGTGGTGCAATAAAATTTTGGTTGTTTAACCGTATTAGGTGAAAACAGTTAATAAACATTTTTTCTCACAGTTAACAGTTTGAATACCATTTTATTTTACGGTTATTTGACTGTTTTGTTTGAATATGGTAAAATAGCAATTAAATAGATTGTTAGCTAACCCTTTTTTCTGAGAAATTTCTAACGTGTTTACAAGAGGTTGCCCAGCCCCATTCTCACATCATATACAAATTTAGTTGTTCTGATATCATGCACATACCTCCTTTTTGTGCTCGAACAAACTTCTACTCGACGAATTTGTCTTTTTTAGGTAAATACGGATTCCGATGACCTTAGTGATGTTTTCAACTTTCTGTTTCGTTCTTTCGTTGACTTAGTTTTATTTTATCGTGACAATGTTACTTTTGGAGTTTAGATTTAACCGCAAGCAGAACCGTTTCCGGCTCTAACATAATTAACAATTCATTAAATCCAATCCGTTAAAATTTCTTCTTATTATACTAAGAAGAAGCACAAATTCTTCAATTGTTTTTCTGTGAAAGAAGCGAGCAAAACAAAGCTTAATTTATACATTTATTCATTTTGAAATTACAATTCAATATGTAATTTTTTGAAATTAAATCTATTTCCTTAAATAAATTAAAATCATGTACAGATAATCCACATACGAGAATATGTCAGGGTTGAACATCCTGATCCTATTTTCACACAATTGATCAATTTACATTCAGAAGAAGCCATCCGGAAGCATGATTGGCATGACCCTTAGCACTAATTGATTCTTCTTGAAAAGATTCGAAAGTTCTTATCATCATTCTTCCAGAAACCCATTTACGGAAGACCACCTTGATCTCCGCCAAGAGATGGAACATTCGAAAGGTGGATGATATCTGACTCCGGTGCCATCCATCAAACTCAGAATGGGACACTCCATTAATTTCTCTTTAAAGATCAACCAATAATGCTGTTGTTGAGGATGTTTATTGGAAACAAATGGAGTCCACTTTCTCGATCGTCCTGCCAACTTTCCAAAACTTAAAAATCTGGAAGCTTTTCAAGTTTTAGAAAGTTCTTAATCTCTTTTTTTTTTTTTTTCTGTAATCGTCGTCGAACAGCTAATCCAAATTTGAGTTTACGACAATCAATGTCCAACTCCGAAGCCTTGTAATTTTGAACCCAATTAGGAAGACAAGGGAACTCGAGGATCATATATGGCAGTACTTTTACTTTCGTTACTTGTACCGCCGGTACAAGTAAAAAGTACGTACTTTTACTTGTACTTCATTACTTTTGAATTTAGTATTTTTACTTGTACTTTCGTTACATTTTTAGGGAAAAAGTACAAATATTTGTAACGGAAATGTCGAATGAAATCGTTACTTTTTTCTAAAACTCGGTAAGCTTTCTAAAAAAAAATTATTAAATTTAAAAAAAATGTTTATGTTTTTTTAATTTATAAAATTAATGTGCAATATATATGCATTCACAGCTGTTTAGTACTTGTACTTTCGCTTGCACTTTTTACTCGTTACTTTTTAAAATAAGAACTTTTCACTTTTTACTCGTTACTTTTTCTAAAAATACTTGTACTTTTTCTCGTTACTTTTTAAAAGTAACGTTGCCTTATATGTCCTGGATCAGTACCCCCAGAGGTATTAATTTGTTATGGGATTATTTGTTATAGGACTTTATGATCCCGACAGATTTATGTGCACCAGTCACCATTTAATACACGGGGATTCTTCGGTCGGCTGGATTCGAACCCCCGTTCTCACGAATACTCGTCTAACGCCCTACCAACTAGGCTATCCCAACCCCTAATCTTCTTTATTAGACTGGAGCAAGGTTTTTTAAACATTTTGGAGTGGAGACCCCTTAATATTTACTGAAATTTTGTGGAACCCCATAAGTATTGTGTAAATCCAACTCACTTGGGAGTTGATGTGTCAGTTTCTTTATTTGATCTGTATACTATATTGTAGTTTTAGATCCTTAACTTAAATTTTTAATTTTAAGACATAGAACAATGCGAAATATTTAATTAAGCAATGAACTTAAAAACATAATACTATAATAAAAATAAATTCAATTAATTAATGTTAATTAAAAATTAACTATGATTAAGAATTAACTATTAAAAATTAACTATGATTTGTACATTTAAGTATTGTCGCACACATTTACCTATTTTCAGATACATTATATAAAAATATTTGGTCATTGTAAAATTTTTATAATACGTCATAGAAATATCAAAATTGGTTAGCTTTTTTGGCAACCCCTGTTGAGGGTACTGCGACCCCAATTTGGGACGCGACCCACAGTTTAAGAAATTCTGGTCTAGATAATAAAAAAAAAATAAAACATGATACAATACTCTACGTTATATTTGATTTGCGCAAATTTAGATAACATTAATCTGTGTTGTAAATAACTTTGACGTTTAAAGTATTCTAAAAGAAATGCATCATAACATGTGGAGTGAGCAAAAAAAATAAATAAATAAACGGACCACCCTGAATAACTTTTGGTCTAATGATCGGATCTTCCCGTTCTAAAACTCAATCTTAATGGTTTCAGAGGATAACCTCAAGATATACTAATTAATTAGTACACACGATATTTTAAGTTATGAAATGAAGCACAAAAACGTACCTTCTCTGAATAAACATACTATTTTACAACAGATTCAGATTTCTGACTCCCAAAATATAGGGGGTAGCAGCAACTCCCAAATTGCTGCTACCCCTATATTTTTCCAAATTAATATATTTTATATTTTCCCAATATTTTGGGCAGGACAGAGATCCAAAGTTAATGTTAATTTTAGTTTTTGCGTATTGCGTCATATCTCGAGAACTTTTTTAAACGAATTGAAAAATTTTTGCAGACAATTATAAAATTCGTTTCTCCAAGGATAATTCCATACAAAGAATAACTTTCAATAAATATTTATTATTTTTTATTATTTTATTCAATAAATGT